ACCTTCCCCCACCTCCTTAACCCCCACCCACCTTAACCTTCCCCCACCTCCTTAACCCCCACCCACAAAGCTGTTGGAATTGTGTGGGGCCATGTTGGTATTTCATGATGGCATTCAGTAGGCAGGAGTCCAAAATGTTGCCTTTCCTGCACATTTCCTGTGGGACCATTTTGTATGATAAAGAATTGTCCTGCCTAAAATGTCACTAGCATCAGCAACCTTATAGAGAAAACATTATTCTAGAACACAATAGTTTGTTTTCCCTTTTCTTCTTTGAAATTAATATTAAATGACTGGTGAGTTCTTAGTCATTTGTTAGATCCTGAATAAGACAGTCACTGCTCAGAAGTAGGTCATACTTTAGTAGAAATGCTAGACTTAGGATGATAAATACAAAAATAGAAATACTTTTAATGCATAGAGGCAGTGAGTGATTGCTTTTCTTTGAGGCTATGTGACTTTGACATTTCCCCTGTATAGGGAATTGTGAGGAAAGACTGATCACAAGGAACAGTCTAAGGTTGTGCATGCTCTATTCAGGGAACTGCAAGTAGTTTGGTACTGTTAGAAAATAGAGTGTAAGTTATAGTGGCAGTTGGCATACGGTAACATATGCCATACTAAGGAGCTTGATGTTTAGAGTGAGAAGGATTATCTGGGGTGCTAGTTAAAATGCAGTTTTTTGGGCTTCTGTTTCAGAGAGTCTGACTTGATAGTGGTAGTAGACTGGGACCCAGAAATCTTCTTTTGTAAATAAGTATTCCAGGTGGTTAGATACACGCACACACGCGCACACATACATACAGAGATTAGTTTGCTGTGGATCCAGTTTTTAAGCAGAAGATACCATATTTGTAAATTTTAGAAAATTCATCTTAACAACAGTGTGGAAGTGTTTCCCAAACTTCTTGGCTAGGACTCTTCTTAGGAAGTAATAGTATGTAACATTTGGTTAAATCTGCGTAACAATTCTCCGTGCGATACAATATGACATTTTTTTCATTTACAAAAAAATTCAAAATTGACTTTTTATGACCCATTGGCGGGTTGGAGTCCCCATCGTTTCTTTAGACTTTAAAGCAACTGTTCTCACTTTAGCACACATCAGAATAACCTGGACAGTTTATTAAAATAGGTTATTAGTTCCACCCCCAGAGCTACTGATTCAGTAGGCCTGGGGTGGCACTTGAGAGTTAGCATTTTTAACAAGTTCCCTCCAGATTTGGTATTTAGTTCAAGAGAAAAAAAGAAAAAAAGAAAAAAAAAAAAACAAGTTCCCATGGGATGCTGATGTTTTTGGCTCTGGAACTGCATTTTTAGGACCACCGATTTTATAGAGGATAGATTGGAAGTACAAGTTTCCATTGGAATGTAGGTTCTGTGAGGACAAGGACTTTTGTCGGGTTTGTTCGCTCTCCTGAATGCCTGTAGCACGGTGTGGCATATAGGAGATACTCAGTAATTGTTCATAGAATGCATGACTTGATGTAGGATTCAGTGAGCTCCGTCACTACATCACTGCACTTTGCAGTGGTGGTAGTGGGCGGGAAGGACCAGGGCCATGATAGTAGGGATAGATTGGAACAATACTTCAGAAGGGAAATAGACAATAATGATGGGGTGGTTGGGTGAATTCTGACTCCTAGGTTGTTGACTTGGGTGGCTAGGTAAGTCATGGTACCCAGCACTTAGCCACACATAATATGTATTTATTAATATTTGCCATTATCACAGAAGCTTCATTTGAGGTGATGGGTCCAGATTACGTGGGTAGACCAATTGGAGATGATAAAAGTGAAGCATTAAATTTAGAAAATTATAGTTTAAAAAACTATTACTTAAAGCATTAATTAATAGGATGACTTTTTTACCTTGATTTTTGGCTTATAAGAAACTAGGCTTTGTTTTGTTTTGGAAGAGAGGAAAAGATGTAGAGGGTTTGGGTGATAGCAGAGTGTTTGGAAACCTTACTGTGTATAATACCGTAGTCATGATGTGTTTTATTCGGCATGTAAGTGCCTGTTTTAATGGTGTGCTGTGCTAGATGCCCACTTCACAGTGATGAATTAGACAAAACATGGACTCTGAAAGAGTAGTGCTTTGTTACCAAAGGAAGAAACCAGCTGTTTTTAGTCTGGCATTAGCAGAGACTTAGATTTATCAGTTGGAAGTGAGTTTAGAAGTAATCTAATTCAGTTCACCCCCATTTTAGGTGAGGAAGCTGTCCAAGGAAGATAAATGATTTGGTCATATTAATGACCAAACCAGAACTAACTGGTTTCCTGACTTCTGGTATAATTCTCTATTACACAGTTAATGCCACCACCACCAATAATAATATTAATAATAACTAACAATTATTGATCACTGGTTTTATGTAAGATTCTAAGTGCTTTACATGAATATGTTATTTAATCTTCACAACAATGAGGTAGGTATTGTTACTATCTCTGTAAGAATAGACTTCAGGGAAGTCTAAATGCTAGGCCTGCTAGTGGGATGATTACACTGGGAAATTGACCTTGAGTTTACTTTTTCAGTTAGCCTTTAGAGATGTGGTGGAATTGTTACTAGCATGTAGATACAAATCTAGAATGTCTAGAATGGTTGGAAGGTTCAGAAGATTATAAAAAATCTCAGAGTACGGTAAAGGAAACTTCTTGAAGGATCTGATAGAAGACTCAGGTGAGACTTAGGCAATGTCCTAAGAAATCCTGGATGAGAATACAAAATATGTGTAGATCTTTGCATGCAAAATGACTGAATTAAGTTCCATTTGTATTTTCAAGGAATGGTTTGTGACTTTTTTGGTCAATTGTTTATGGAGTTGAAGCTCTAGATTGAACATTAAACCTGGTAGCGAGGAAATGTGTTAGGGATAAGGGTGAAATAGTTGCATATATTTTCCTTTTTGTTTTTGTCCATTTCTGATATTTTTCTATTATAGAACCTCTTCTAGGGTGAAATGAGAAAATGCAAGTGGCTAAGCAGAAAAGGATTATCAATCCTTAGTGTAATGGAAGAAAGGGAAATTTCAAGAAATGTGAGGGCTTGGGAAAACGTCTGAGGCCTTTAGGCATTGCTGTTTCTTTTTTCTTACGTAGGATTGGACAGATGGAAAGATGGGCTTTTCTAACTCAGGGATTGCCTCTGTTTCTCATTTTCTAGATGGATTTATGTTCTGTCTATGTTATTTAGGAGGCAGAAAATTTTGTATTAAGGAAAGAGTTCCATAAAAATACTTACAATAATGTTTTTGATATTATAGAGGATAATCTTTAATTACTAAAAAAGTTGCTTATATGAAACTCTTCTTCTTTAAATAATATCTGATAATTAAGGCATTACTGTGAAAGATTGTCAAAGATAAAAAAAGAAATCCTCCAGTACTATGAAGTGGCA